AACTACCACTGGCATTTTTCACAGAGCTAGAACAAAAAATTTCGCGATTTGTATGGAAACACAAAAGACCCCGAATAGCCAAAGCAGTCTGGAGAAATAAAACCGAGCTGGAGGAATCAGGCTCCTGGACTTCAGAGTATACTACAAATCTGCAGTAATCAAGACAGTATGGTACTGGCACAAAAACAGAAATACAGATCAATGGAACAGGATAGAAAGCCCAGAGATAAACCCATGCACAGATGGTCACCTTATCTTTGATAAAGGAGGCAAGAATATACAATGGAGAAAAGACAGCCTCTTCAATAAGTGGTGCTGGGAAAACTGGACAGCTACATGTAAAAGAATGAAATTAGAACACTCCCTAACACCATACACAAAAATAAACTCAAAATGGATTAGAGACCTAAATGTAAGAGAATGAGAAACCTAAATGTAAGGCCAGACACTTAGAGGAAAACATAGGCAGAACACTCCATGACATACATCACAGCAAGATCCTTTCAGACCCACCTCCTAGAGAAATGGAAATAACAACAAAAATAAGCAATTGGGACCTAATGAAACTTTAAAGCTTTTGCACAGCAAAGGAAACTATAAACAAGACGAAAAGACAACCCTCAGAATGGGAGAAAATATGTGCAAACAAATCAACGACAAAGGATTAATCTCCAAAATATACAAGCAGCTCATGCAGCTCAATATCAAAAAAACAAACAACCCAATCCAAAAATGGGCAGAAGACCTAAACAGACATTTCTCCAAAGAAGATATACAGAATGCCAACAAACACATGAAAGGATGCTCAACATCACTAATCATTAGAGAAATGCAAATCAGAACTACAATGAGTATCGCCTCACACCGGTCAGAATGGCCATCATCAAAAAATCTAGAAACAATAAATGCTGGAGAGGGTGTGGAGAAAGGGGAACCCTCTTGCACTGTTGGTGGGAATGTAAATTGATACAGCTGCTATGGAGAATAGTATGGAGGTTCCTTAAAAAGCTAAAAATAGAACTATCATACGACCCAGAAATTCTACTACGCGGCATATACCCTGAGAAAACCATACGTCAAAAAGAGTCATGTACCACAATGTTCACTGTAGCTCTATTTACAATAGCCAGGACATGGAAGCAACCTAAGTGTCCATCGACAGATGAATGGATAAAGAAGATGTGGCACATATACACAATGGAATATTACTCAGCCATAAAAGGAAATGAAATTGAGTTATTTGTAGTGAGGTGGATGGACCTAGAGTCTGTCATACAGAGTGAAGTCAGTCAGAAAGAGGAAAGTAAATACCGTATGCTAACACATATATATGGAATCTAAAAAAAAGAAAGAAAAAAAATGGTTCTGAAGAACCTAGGGGCAGGACAGGTATAAAGACGCAGATGAAGAGAATGGACTTGAGGACATGGAGAGGGGGAAAGGTAAGCTGGGAAGAAGTCAGAGAGTGGTATGGACATATATACACTACCAAAGTAGATAGCTAGTGGGAAGCAGCCACATAGCACTGGGAAATCAGCTCGGTGCTTTGTGTCCACCTAGAGGGGTGGGATAGGGAGGGTGGGAGGGAGTCGCAAGAGGGAGGAGATATGGGGATATATGTTTATGTATAACTGATTCACTTTGTTATACAGCAGAAACTAACACACCATTGTAAAGCAATTATACTCCAATAAAGATGTTAAAAAAAAAAGAAAGGTATTTCTGTAGATTTTCCTTCTTTTCCCTTATTTTCTTCCTATTTTGCTTCGTATTTAATTTTGAGAAAGCTTGTCTTGGATTGTTACAAAACATTTACTGTGGTGGGAAAAATCATGCTGGAACCAACACAACTTCTGGGTTAAGCTAACATCATTTCTAAATGCACGTGAAGTAATTATGGCAGAGAAACACATATGTTGCTGGACAGATAGATTGGTAAATGCCTGACCCAGGTACTGGCATATGTGACCTGAGTTTGTAGTAGGAGTAGTTGTAATAGTTGTGATGGTGACAGCTAGCAACATATACTTAGGCTCATTATGTGCCAGGCATGATGCTATAAACACTTAGTATGGATTATCTCCTTTATTCACACAGACTCTATGAAGTAGATAAAGAAACAGATATTTTAAAAGATTAAATATTTATCTCTGCCCCAGGTTACAAAGTTGTTAAGTGGTGAAGCTAGGATTTGAACCCAGATCTTTCTGACTCTAAGGCTTCAGCTTTTAATAACCACAATAAAATAATATTTCTCATCTAATGAAAGTGTGATGTGATTTTGCAGTAGTAAATGACAATGCAGCCCACTGGTCTTTATCCAGCTGGCATATGTAAACATAAATGTTGATGATGTATGTACCTAGAAAACCACTGAACATTAGAGAGTGCTTATAATTTTTGCAGATTTAGACTTCCTGGCTAAGCTGGTGAGGGAAATCTTTGCATATGGCCAAAGGAGAATTCCAGAAGTGTGACACCTTCTCAGTTCTTTCCAGCTGAGTCAGAGGCTGCTGTGATGACTCAGGCTATGCGAGGGCCTTGGAATGGACACTCAGGCACACTTCTGAATTCCACACACGCATCAGACTGTATGGGGCGGGGGTGGAGGTAATTATCACCAGGGAATTCATACTCAATGAGATCTAGGACTTCAGGCATGGATGCCAACCAAATAATTTTGGTGGAATTTTGACTTTTCATTTAAATTCTATTTAACAACTATGAATTATTCACTCACCACATGACTGGAATTAACTATGCCAAGTGTTGTAGCTACAAAACGGAATAAACTATCAAGACCTCACACGCCCATGGAGCTAAATGTAGACATTTCATTGAACGTACTCCATGCTGGGCACTCTTCTTGGCACTTTACATGTATTAACTCATTTAATTCTCACAACCCTATTATATATGGACTAATGTTCTCCCTATTTTATAGATGATGAAACTGATGAAACTGAGCAGAGAGGTTAAGAAACTTGCTGAGCAATTTGTACCTAGGATTTGGACCTAGGCTGTTTGAGTCTGGAACCTACGTTCTTAGCCTCTTCCCTAAACTCTCTGTAGTAGAGGGAGACAGAGAGGTTAAAAGTAATTGTAATGCGGGGCTTTAAGAAAAATTATAGACATATGTATACAATGGACTATTAGTAGAGGAGAAAGTGACTAATGCTGCCTCGGGTACTAGGGAGGATGGCAGTCTGGGAGGAGTGCCAGTTCAGCAAATCCTTCCTAGTGGATGTCAAATGGCTGTCAGGGACAGCAGATGAAACAGCACAGGCAAAGGCACGGAGGTGGGAAATGGCCTGGCGTGCCTGCAGGTTGCTACTATTGAAATCGAAAGGCAATAAGGGGGCTTCTCTGGTGGCGCAGTGGTTAAGAATCTGCCTGCCAACACAGGGGACACGGGTTAGAGCCCTGGTCCGGGAAGATCCCACATGCCGCGGAGCACGTAAGCCCATGCACCACAACTACTGAGCCTGCGTTCTAGAGCCCGCGAGCCACAACTACCGAAGCCTGCGCTCCTAGAGCCCGTGCTCCGCAACGAGAAGCCACCGCAATGAGAAGCCCGCGCATCACAAAGAAGAGTAGCCCCCGCTCGCCACAACTAGAGAAAGGCTGCGCGCAGCAGCGAAGACCCGACGCAGCCAAAAATAAATAAATAAAAGAAAGGCATTAGGGTAGTCGGCAGGAGATGAGTGCATAGGAGGAGAGAGATCAAGGAGAGGAAGAATTTCATTCTGTGAGTTGGCCATACCAAGGGGTTTGTTTTCAGGTGGGAAATATTGAAATAGGTTTTAAACGGGGTGGTGCGGTGGTGGTAATGTAACACTCGATTTGCCCTTTTGAATCTAGCTGGGGTTGAGAGGTAAGGAAAGAGGGCAAAACCTACACGTAGGGTCTCCCAGTGAGAAACCAAGGCCCTGGTGACGGGAATGGGGAAGGAAGGGTGAGTGGAGAGATCTTCTGAGGTCCGCTGGACCTGCTGATTCAGGGGGGTGGTTTGGCAGAGGAGGTTTGCTCATTAGAGTAAAGCTTGATTCTCATGGAAGCCCTCACTATGTGATTTAAGTCAGCTCTCCACCATTGCCCAGGAATTTGGACTTAAAGGACACCACATTTATAGAGGTATGGGACGTGACTGAGGTTAAATACCTAATTCTCAGTATCATTATTTTCACCTTCCTTCCTGTAGTGACAAGAGCTCCCCACCCCCTGCAGAAAACAGCAATGCTTTACTCTGCTGCTGACTATGGGTTTCATAATATATCATACATGGTCCCAGAGCAACTCTGCCTATTAGCTGGGGATGCCCACTGACAGATAATTACCACCTGCTGTTCCTGCACTGTAATAGTGATCATTTATCTCCTTTTACCTTATTTCTTTAAAAAAAAATTACTTATTTGGTTGCACCAGGTCTTAGCTGCAGCACGTGGGCTCCTTAGTTGTGGCATGTGAACTCTTAGTTGCGGCTCCCAAACCAGGGATTGAACCCAGCCCCCCCCCCGCATTGGGAGTGCAGAGTCTTATCCACTGCGCCACCAGGGAAGTCCCCACCTTTTACTTTGTTTCTTGAAGTAACATTCGAAGATGGATAAGTTACCCTACTCCTAAGATCAGTGGAGAAAACTAAGAACCAAAAGGCAAAAAGGAGTTATATTTCCATGCTTACAGCCTTCTCCTCACTTTCAGCTGGTTGGTACCTGCCTCTCTGCTCTATCCCACATACTAACGGGGAAGCTCTCGGGCTCTGTGGAGCCCGAGGAATGTTTAGGAGCAGAGCCCACTCAGCGAAGGGCGAGGCCACAGCTGGGAAGATGACTCACGCTGGATCCAGAAAGAAAACAAATAGTCTCAGAAATTTGGTGGTGATGGGTAATGGTGGGGGAGGAAGATACAGGGAGAGGGGCCACTGCCTTTTCCAGGAAATTGGTTAGTGAAGTAATTTTAGTGGGAAAAGAATTGTTAAAAAAAAAAAAAAGCCCACTTACTGACACAAGAAATCAGATCATTAAATCTTTCCTTAGGAAAGAGGGGGTTTTCCAGCCCACGGAAGTAGAGCTTTAGAACGCCAGCAACTGAGTTAATATCATGGTTACTCTGCTCGTCAGCCAAAGGGTTTTCACCTAAAAAAAAAAATCAAAAAAGAAAAATTAGTTACATGCACATTGCTTCTCTTTTTATCTCTGAACAAAAATGTTTCTATACTCACACACACATTTCTATATATACATGTATCTTTTAATTATGTTTTATGGAAGATTATATGCTACTAAAATTAAAATAACTGGTTTAGATATCCCACCCCATGATTAACCTAAAAATAGTTGGTTAAAATAAAGCTTTTTTTTTTTTATCATATGCTACCAAATAATCCCTTACAAATTACCTAAATCTTAAAATAAAATATTGTGGGATTTATAATTGGACCCAACTTTTTTTTTTAAAGCTAAAATCTGTTATATTAGGTTGACATAAATTCAAATACTATATTCTGTGTTTCTTATTCTACTGGGGAAAAGAAACAATATAGGTCTGTCTGGCTATGCTATATGGATCAGCAAAATTTATCAGAAATACTACAGGACTCACCTAATTGTGAATACCGACAATTAAATAAATACTTCTCAAAGTGGCATGGTGGTGTTCATAGCAGACTTGAAAGCTGCTTTCAGCAGTGGGAGATTTTGAAATCAGAGAGAGGAATTTGAAAATGTACCTTAACAGTACCAAGGAATTTGCATAAAAAGTGGAAAATTTAAAAATATATCACAAACATGAAATTATATTATTCTTTATGCTAAGCACTTTAAAATGATCAGGTAACTGACCTGGCTTGTCCACCTCCCTGAGAATCAAACTGAAATAAAATCCTTAAGAAGTTCAACATAATGTACAGCCTTAAATCAAACTCCATTTTTTTATTCACAGGTCTGCTCTTCTAAAGTTCACAAAAATTGTACATTGAATTTTAACTTTTTTTTTTGCCTGTTGGGGCAGCTTATTTTCAGGGACCTGTGGTTCCTTTTTCTCTGCTTCAAGGGTAGGAAATCATTGAACACGAATTCACCAAAATATTTTTTTTTGGCCCACTGTGAGAAAGCCTTACCCAAAGGGATCACAAACAAACAACATACTAGGGGAATGTTCAAGGAAAAATAATAAAGCATTTTTGCTTGCAGTGGCTGGCACAGGAACCTGAGGCTTTACTACATTTCAATTTATCTTGAATATGGTCCATGTAAGAGACTTGGACACTTAGCCCTTGAGAGGGGAGGCCGCTCGGCTCTATGCACTGTAAGAGGCTTTGGAAGAGGAAAAACAATCTGGCTCCAAGTTCACCTCTTTACCCAAGGTTTCAAACTGGCTCTGTGTCAAGTCTGGGTTAGGGCAAATGGGACCAAGAGGGGTTGCCTTGTCTCCAAGCCTTGATGCCCCTCCCTCTGCATCCTTGGCTTGACTTCCAAGCAGAGGCAGGAAGGTGCAGATGTATCCAGAAGCAGACACAATACAAATCATTAAAACTGGAGAGCATTATTAGCTAAGACCCACTCCTAAAGAGTTAGGCATGGGCTTCCCAGGTGGCGTAGTGGTTGAGAGTCCGCCTGCCGATGCAGGGGACATGGGTTCGTGCCCCAGTCCGGGAGGATCCCACATGCCGCGGAGCGGCTGGGCCCGTGAGCCATGGCTGCTGGGTCTGCGCGTCCGGAGCCTGTGCTCCGCAACGGGAGAGGCCACAACGGTGAGAGGCCCGCGTACCGCAAAAAAAAAAAAGAGTTAGGCACTTTCATGGATTATACCCAATTCTCACACCAGTCCTGGGATTCTGCAGATGAGGAAACCGAAGCCAGAATAAGAGATGAGTCACTTGACCCAAATCACATGATTAGTAAATGCAAGAGTGTGATTTGATTCTAGGTCCGCTTGATGCTAAAGTGTACGGTTTTGCTAATCATAATGTTTAGGAGGACTTATTTAGCCAATTGGGAATAAGAGTAAGGCACCAACTAAGGTCACAGGGAAGGAGTCTGGGGATGGTAATAAGAGGAAGGGGAGTTCCTGACAAAGGAAACAGACATGAAGCTGGGATGAGTCACCTCAAACAGCTGCTATGCAGGCCCAGGGCTGTTCTTGCCACTCTTCTAGAACCTTTCATGAGCCACCTTTGACAACGTGCTGAGGATTATCAATGCCATTCCTAAACCAGGATACAAAACTCATATGCTTTTCTAGACTTGATAACAAGGTCTTATGATTTTGGCTTCATTTCTTAGCTATTCTAAATAGATTCTTAACTCAACATCCACAACGAAATAAATGCAGAGAAAGGTTTTGAAGATATATAGAATAAGTATGCCACTTCACTCTACAGAAAATGATGACTTTTTAACAAGGTTTGCTTATAGGTGCAGACATGCAAGTACCTCTCTCAAATGAATTTTTAATATCATTGACTTCCACCTGGGAACCAGACACTCTGAAAATCCCCTGATGCTGAAGACCTAAAGAGAACAGAAGGGAAAGAGCATGAAAGAACCCATCATGTCCTCCAGGTCCCCCTTTTCCCAACAATTAAGTATTAAAAGGAAAGACATATTTACTGAAATACTCCTAGTAATTATTGTTTAAAATAAGAATATTGCAGTTTAGGGCCTACCATAGAGATTGATGAACCGAATACAGCTTTCCACAATGAGGGGGATGATCTGTCCTGAGTCCTGGGTAAAGAGATGGAAACCAGTTAACCGCAAAGAAGAGGCACAAATCACACATAACAATAAAGCTCATAGTTTAACCCTAGTTAAAGACTGACTTTTACTCTTTTAGATGATCATCTCCAAACACACTCCCTCTAAAATATTCCACAAGGGCCAAATATCAAATTATATTTAACTGAAGGTATGTTTCAGTTCTGGGGCAAACCAAATTAAATACATTGAAGGCAATCGTGTTTCAACTTACTCTGCTGTGTCTAAAGATGTCAAGCTAATTCATCTTTTCTACTGTATGTAGGCTTACATATAGAAATGAATATATAAATCACTCAGTTTTTAAAAGGTTATTTATACGAGTAATTAATCTAATGGACCTGAAAAGAACTCTGTGTATTTTAAGCACAGCATCTTAGGACGGACTGACTGTACTAGTCACCAAACACAACCATTCAGCCATCTCAGGCTCTTCTCTGTGGCATCCCTGAGAGTCCACCATCTAGATGGTGACAGTTATAAAAGGGCTTACGTGTTTCCAGATGCGTAACATGAGAATTGCTTTAGAGCTGCTCACAACGTGTCATGTATTTATTTAGTTGGCATCAGAACTTACTGATCCTTAGAGATTTTTCACTGTTATTTTTTCATGTTTTAGGGATGGAGAAAAAAATGGCACCAACGCACACCCCATTAGATCTCGTTTTCTTAGAAGGACCATCTCTTAGCCTTCTTTCTCCACATCTCATAATATAGTCAGTGCACTCTACTGAGCAAATGCGAATTCTGGAAATGTATTAAGACATGTACAGGATGACAAATGAAATGAAGGAGCTGCTTAGGTCACAGTTAAATATGTATCAATGCCATGCACTCCATGTAGTTAAAAAAGGTTACCGACTATGGAGTTATTTTTCATGTTCTTTTCAGGCTCTGCTCTTTCAGGAATTAGAGCTTTAAGGTTAACATGGAGGTTCAAAATGATTAGCTGAAATCAGGCACTAATTCATGAGGAATTTTATTCTGCAACACAAGAAGAATTTGGTTGTCTCAATCTATTAGAACAATTCAGAATCCACTAACCTTTCCAATTAATCAACAGGGCAAAGAGTGGGAATAATGCAGTCCAGCAATCTAACTTTTTACCATTCCTAGAATGGGTAATATACTTCTTGAGGAATGGTTTCATTTTCGGTTTTAAGACAATCTCATCAGTGTATAAACCAGTTAATGGTTCAATTACTTCTGGAGCCTGCATTAAGTTTCTCTAATTAGTCAATTTGTTTCAGGAATGTAAACTTTATTAATTGTGGACCAGTTGGCTCAAGAATAGCCATATAATTACATCAAAACTTACTAAATACGAGAGGGGATTTTTCTTTAGGATACAACCTTTTTTTATGTGAACAATTCCTATAAAACTGTAATCTAAAAGAGCAACAAATATTTAAATGTAAATGATAAAAGGAGAATATTAGTTTGCAACAGCTGAACTTAGGATTAAAACAAAAAGAAAAACCAAGATTAAAAGGTTATTAAAAGGAAAATGTTTGCATTCAGAAAGTTCTAAATAAAAATGTGTTAGGTTTGTGTATTATTTTAAAAATATTTTCGTCTTCACATTTGCTTAGGCAACTGCTAATCTTTCAGCTATCATCACTATTTCATTCAGATATCATGAATTTTGGAGTCAAAAAGTAATGAATGTGCATGTTTTAATTTAATTTCATGGACGCCAGATGCTTTGGTAGAAAATATTTTACAAGAAGTGAAGCAATGGGCCGTGCTCCATCAACCATTCAAACGAATCCCTTTGTGTCTCAGTTTCCCCATGGGAAACAGGAAAAGTGGTGTTTTTCTCGCAGTGATACTGTGGGGACCTCAATTGGCTGAGCACTTTTCAGAAGTGTAGGGATCCCTGTATCCACTGTTTCACTGTTAGGACCAAAGATTCTTTAATATGGCATCTGGGACAAAGAGGAGCTCACATAAGTGAATTTTCCACGATAAGTGGTTTACTCCCACTTTCGTGCCTAAATTTGGCTTCCTTTAACTGTTCTTAATGAAAAAATCTTTTAAAAATATAATATGTGCTTTCCTATGACCTTAAGCAGTCATTCTTGTACTGTGCTATCAAATATAATGGAATCACACATCTGCTTCTTTGAGCTTTTCTATATTCTCCTTCTCTGCCAGGCAGTTGCACAGCCCAGTGCTTTCATTTTATCATTCCCTTCTCTCCATCTAGTTTGCCCCCGCTTGTGAGCCCTGGGCTGGGAAACCAGATAATCAAATTTGACAATAATTTCATATTAAATTAGAGCCAATAAGGCTCTTCTGGGTTTAAGGCTAATGGCATTGGATTCGTGATTGCTCTGTAGGTTGTCCGGTGACTTTTCACTCAATTCCAGGGTTAGGGCTCAGTTTTAAGGTTGCCAGATGCTTTTAATCTCTGTATGTATGCATGTGTCTCTCTGTCCGCATGCATGCGCACACACACATACATTTTTTAACGATTAGTGTACATATCCAATAAAAGATCTGTCTTTAAAGAAAGCAAGACAGCTGTAACATATTGTTAAGGGAGGTTATCAATGATGTGGTTTCCTGTATAAATTTAGTCTTCAGAAACACTGCGTCCCATGTCATAAAATGTTAGCTATGAAAGAGTAAGTTCTTCTCTTTTTTGTATAATTTACATGAGGGTCCAAAATCCAGTATTAAATGTACATTTGGTATTTAACATTGACTCTCCTTAATAAAAGCCCCTGACCCAAATTTAGTATGTTTGCCAAATACATAATGTAAAACTTAAGAGTTTATCCAACTCCTCTTAAATCAGTGTTTGAGTTCTATGATTCTTTTCTAAGTAAAGTTGTTTATAAACCTGTCTAATTTCCAATTGCAAACACTTTTCTTTTAAAGACCTTAAAAAATCTAATTAAAGCCAAGCATGACTGTGATTTGAAAATGATATCAAGAGCGAAAGAGGCTGTGCCCTCGCTTCCCTCGAGCACTATACCTGATGTCTCGCGTGTGAATTCCTTCGTCCTCGGCTAGAAGCGTTATCAGAAATACAGGATGAAAAAGACAGAGTAAACATAGCAGAGATCCAGATACAGACCACAGGGTCCTACAATTTATCCAATATAATGAATTCCTCAAGTCATGGGAAATCGAAACTCGTTGTGCTTCAGAGCTAGCTTAACGATGGACTTTAGATATATTTTGTGCCACCTCATTTGCGTGAGTAGAAACAAAACATTTTATCAGGTAGCTCTTTTCCTTTTCGTACAAATTATGGCTTTTTTTTTTTTTTTAAGGAAGAGGGCTTTCTCTTTTGCCAGTATAATAATACCCACATTTATTCCCTCTTCTGAAGGCACTCAAACCAAATATTCTTTCCTCTCTCTGACTTCAGGAAATATTATATTGATTTTCTGGGAAAGCAAAGAGCCCCAGGACAGACTTGGACATAATGACCTGCCTCCTTTTATGAGAGGCTGAGACCATTATAGTAAGAAGCGTGGAGATCAGCCACCCAGATGGCTGGTGCCAGTACCTTGATGAATGTTTCCAAATCCCCATTAAACAACTTAGCATTATACTGTGAGCGGGGTCTGGACTTCCTGTGTTTCTGGGGCTTAGGGGGAACATTTGGAGGCCTAAGAGAGGGAATATAATTACTGAGCATGGCAGAAATCAAACAATAAATGAAACACCCATAGGTCACATCAAAATTACAAAACACAGGAATTCTTGTGTTCCTTCCCCACCCCTACCCACAGAGGAAAACAGTCCTCCCCTTTCCCATTTATTTACTTTTACTTATATATCAAAACCCATACCAGCTATTCAATCAGACTATTCTTTTCTTGTATGTTGTAGTTGACATTTGTTTGCTAGTTTGTTTTAAAGCGGTCATCATCAACAAATGGAATTAACTACGAGCTATTTGGCCAAGAGTTACAAACCGAGGTTTGTGTTATTCGGCTTACAAGTCACACAGAAGACAACGGGTCATAAAAATTAGGACTCTGATAGATCCCAATAGAGAAATTAAATATAATATTTTTAGTTATGACATAATTCTTCAATGCAAATAACATGACATCTGTTTGACATCCCTCAGGTAATTAATGGGATTTTATTTTATGCAAAAGTAGCTACTAATGGGTCACAAGTGAAAAACAGAGTTTTATTTCACTGCTATTTCTGGGGGGCAGTGGGTCCAGGCTCACATGAATTGTTATTTCTTTAAAACAGACTAGCTCATCACCTATTTGTAGAGCATTAAGATGCACCCATTTATTATTTTCTGGACTCTCTCCATCTCCAGTCTGCTTGCTTTGATGGATAAGTCAGTCTCTCTGGCATATGGACATCCAGGGTACCAAGTACCATATTTAGAAACCCTGCATCATCCTGCTCTGTAACTGGAGAGAGGGAACCTCTTCTGCCCTCTCCCTTTACGGCAAAGAGGGCCAGGATTACGTGACTCAACTTCAACAACTGTGCTGCAAGGAATACATGCAAGAAGAATCCCAAAACTTCTCTCTGGACATTCCAATCTAAACTCCTTCTTAAAAGGGAAGGCTGGTTTGAGGATGTACACCACACTTGGAAATCAGGTAAAGCCCTTTACTAAGCTGCAAACTCTCTAGGAAGAATTGCCTTTTCAGTTCATTAAAGTTCTGAAAGACCAGTTTAGAAACAAAAGCCCAAGAGTTTATGTAGAAGCCTGGCTAGCTTCCTAAGGTATTATCATAGCAGTCAAGAGAGGTAGGGGAACAAACTTGCTGATACCGCCTTCCATACCCAAATTCTAAGGCTCTCCCAACAGCTGGGCTCCTATGACTAATGGGGTATACAGCAAGCAACACCTGAAGCTCCATGGTGCTCGAGAGGTTAAAAGGAGCCCTTGCAAGTGTCTAGAAGCAAACATGGAAAATTTCACCTAGCAAGTCAATCTGCTACTGCTGAAGTTTCTGAAATCTTGTTTATACACTGAACAAGATTTATACACTGAATTCTATGCCATTCACCGAGGAAAGGATCTGGTAGGTATAAACAAACAAAACAACTGCCCACCAAGGAATTTAACCATATGTGCTTGATTTCATCCACTCTTTTCATTATTTTAGAAGTATTTTAAAATATAGACTTTATTTTTACTCAGGTACGGTGAGGCAACAGATCAGAAGACAACTGTTATTGGGAAGACGGTTTGTTACTCACAATTCCCAAGAGTTGGGGGCATGCTACTACATGGGGGAGGGGGTCACACGCAGAAGCACCAAGGTCGCTCAGGAGGAAGGAAGAATGAGGGAAAATGTGAGCCTTTGTTGCGGTTCCCACGGGGAGGAACAGGCAAGGCAGGGTAAGCAGGTTTAGGATTGGCTAGTCCTTGAATAATTTTGGTGGGCCCTGGGGGCACGGGAGCTGTCCCTATTTGTCTGGTACCTGGCCTTTGGGTGACTGGGGAAGAGGAACAGGGGCCCTGAGGTGAAGACTTGGTAAAGGAGGTGGCTGAGAGTCTGGGCTCTGGACTGGCTGCTTTGTACGCAAAAGGCACACTTGTAAGCAAGCCCTTTACTATCTCTAGGAATTGACTGACTCTCAGAGGGGGAGTCCCTCCAAGGTCAGTAAGGCCTCAAGATATCAAAGCATCAAATATAGGAACTAGAAAATGTGGTTATTACAACAAGGTCCAAAGAACTTCACATTTAATGCTATCTGGAGCAGTGGATGAAGCCAAGGGAATAGGAACACAGGCTCGTTTTGTTTGGTTACTGATTAGTGGGGACAAGCAAATGTTGTAGCTAGAGCCAAAGCCCCCAGTGGCCCTGGATAATTATTCCTGCATCACTGAGAGATGCAGAGAAACTCCTTGCTGGGGCTAACGGAGAGATGTCTTTTGAGTCTTCTCCCAAAAGTCTGATAATTGCCTCTCTTGACACATCAAAAGTATGAGACAAATAGGAAGATACTAAAGCTGTGAGAGGGATTTGAGGTTAAAATAAACTGCCTGAGTGCTTATCAAGGTACTTTCCACGGCAGAGTTGGCTTGGCAGGCAGACTGGTGCACTGATGGACCTGGCTCTACCACGTACACATCAGGTGAACAGATTCTACGTTCATTCAACATTCGAACTGTATGACTCCTTCTGGTTGTGTGCCTGCCACACAACTTCCAGATAATCTGGCTTTCTAGGCAGAATGCCCATGTGGATGAGAGGAAATACCAGTCAGGATGATGTGAATATCAAGTCTGTTGGGCAAGTACAGCTCTCATTGCAAATATATATTTGCACTCCTTCCTTTAAAAAAATCTTTTAAAAAAGTGCCTTATGTTAATTATAATTTAGAAACAGGTAAAATAGTTGATAATGCAAAGGGACACTATATGTGAAAAAAAACACATATTACTATGCAGGAGTAATATGCCTCTTTGTCACTGACACAGGGAAGAAAAACCTCAGTATTTTCATAAAGTTTAGACAAGTCAGTAGCTGTATCTTTCTAGTTGGTTCACCGAGAAGTAAGAGGGGTTTCCTTTTGAATAAACTGCCTAGCAGGAACATTGCAGAACCTTAAAATCAACTTGCCAACTACTGCAACAGACACACCAGTGTTCTAAATGTCTCCTACCTCAAAGAGAACTCAACTTTAAAAGTGTGAAGTCTTGCTATGTCAATTAGAATAATTTCTGGCTGTTGTACAAATGTTGACAGAGAAAAATAAAACTTGCCACAAACTTTCCCCAACCCAAATCAGAACCTGCGTCCAAAAAGGCTTTTCCTTCTCAGCAGTAGCATCAAAGTCCTTCTAAGAATTTTAAAAAAGGGGAGAAAAAGGAGGAAAAAAAGAAAGAAAGTGCAATATGATACTAGGCATTAAAAGTTAAATTTTTAAAGTAAACCAAACGGGCAGAGCTAAAATCCTAAGAGTATTCAACATAGCTCTAGTTTTTATACACCATACAGGAGCAAGAAGTAACTAACACAGTAGATATTTGCATAATATTGCTTATTAATTAAATTATCAAATCAAAAATCCTATCAGACTCTTTCTAGAAACTTAAAGTGTTTTGGATTAGATAAATCAAACCCATTCAATTTGTGTCTTTTTTTTTTTTTAACTGAGGCTGCTCATTAAAGAGCTTTACAATTCCACTGGGAAACCCTCAGATCTTCCAGAGCAAATCTGGTTTTGTGAGAACCCCAAACACTTCATGTTACTGTTTTGTCAAGCCCAAACTATCTTCCATGTTCATTAACAAAATATCTTCATTCTTGCAGCATTTAAATGGTTGCTTGTTAAAAGAGATAAGAGAGTGAGATGCAATGAGTTATGATAAAATATTTTCCTACCTTGTAGTCATATATTCAGCTCTATGACCTGCAGAAAAAAAAATTAAAATAAGTCAACTGAGTGGCATCCGTGCAATGCATTGGGCAATCTTTTGTATCATCTGTCCCTTGATTTATGATGCTGAGTTTATAATAACTTACACATTTTATGGTGAGGAGCATGAAGACAGTACATAAAGATAGACAAAATATTCAAAGTAAATATTTCATAAAATATATACATAAAATTTAATAAATTCTATAGATTAGAGAAACATATTTCACTTGGCAATATGAGGCAGGGAGTTTTAATTAATTAATTAATTTATTTATTTATTTTTTGCAGTACGCGGGCCTCTCACTGTTGTGGTCTCTCCCGTTGCGGAGCACAGGCTCCAGACACGCAGGCTCAGCAGCCATGGCTCACGGGCCCAGCCGCTCCACGGCATGTGGGATCTTCCCGGACCGGGGCACGAACCCGTGTCCTCTGCATCGGCAGGCGGACTCTCAACCACTGCGCCACCAGGGAAGCCCGGGGAGTTTTATTTTTTATTAAATCAAGAAATAGCTGCGTAATCTTTTTGTTTTTAGTTTTTTGGCCGTGCCATGTGGTATGTGGGATCTTAGTTCCACGACCAGGGATTGAACCTGAGCCCCCTGCAGTGGAAGCTCAGAGTCTTAACCACTGGACCACCAGGGAAGCTCCTGCTTGATCTTAACTGTAAGTTCAAAGATGAAATACAAATAAAACACATCCAAGATTTGAATGTTAGTTATTCCCCGCCTTGACTGATACTTGTGAGAGAGAAGCAGGGGGTCACGTAGGGTTAGGAGAACTCAATTTCCTTTTCCTTTAGATTAAATTGGTGTTTATTCTATAATATGAAATCAGGGAGAGAAGTTGCATTTTATAGTCGGAAATGACATTTGCAGATATTAAAGTACAAGGACATTAAACTATGCTACATTCCACCAACTTGTAAGCTAACAGCCTTTCCCAGAATTCTCTGTCACTTAAAACATGAGTTCTTATACATTTGGGCTTCTTGATTTGTTTTAAATAACAGCTCTGTATTTTTGTGGTGCTCCTACAAACTGAGGTAATTTCAAGTTTGAATATGTCTATGGGTTGCTGTCTGTTCTCTCTTATATTTAGGGTGAAGCAGTGGGAAGGGGTGTGGGAGAGTTAATCCATTCAACTGGTTTATTTGCAAAATGATGATACGGTCCTGAAACAGCCTGAAAATACAGCTGGCAGAGAAGGGTCATGTTGCAGCACAAACAGGTGAGACCAGCCCATAGTATCACAGCGGTGATTCAGGCTTGTAGGGCAAGGCCAATATAACAATCCGTAGAGAGAGCTGCCTGGTTGGGAATGGTGAATGAACACTGCCAGGCTGCAACGAGTCTTTTACTCTATCATTTGCTTTTGAATAACAAGTGACATAAGGTATTTGGCTAATACCTATTTACTAAACAAGGGGCACCAGTTCATATCAGAGAATATCTTTCTCAAACAGATCCAGGCTACTGTTAAGTCTTGGTAGAATCTGTCCTTGGCCATGACTTGGGGTTGGGGTCGGGGGAAAGGAGAAAAATCTGATTTTAATTAATGATTCTACCTATCATTTAACTGGAAGTCCCTTCCTTCTGCTGGCCTTCTGCTATTTTGGGGAACAAGAAAAAAGAGACGGTGGACACAGAACTCCAGAAGAATTTATAGCTATTTCTAAGTGGGAGACGTCTATCAGAAAGCGGAGAGAGCAGACAGTGAGCTAAGTGTGATGTCTTACAGGATAGCCTTCAGCAGGAAGCTGGCTATACAGGGTTAAAGCACAAGGAGAAGACAGGGCTGGAGATATTTAAAGAGTTACCACCCTTTAGGTTGTGCTGGGGCCATGGGAGCTAGCTGAGATCACCCAGTGGGTCAGTAGAATGAACAAAGGATGGAAGGCAGAGAAAATAGCTGGCTTCTGCTGTATTATATTCTGCCATGCTGCATACTTTATTACAACATAAAAGTATGACATAAACTATATATGTATCAATAACAACAATAAAAACAGCAGTGTCTAACATTTACTAGACACTGTTCTAAGCACTTTCTCTATAGTAACTCACAATTTTCACAACTTTATGAAGTAGGTACTATTACTATTTTTATTCTACAGAAGAGACTGAGCATAGAGAAGGCAAGTGACTTGCCCAAGGTCACATGGTCAGTATGTGGTGGGTCTGGCACTAAGGCTCAGGTTTGTTTTAATTCTAGATCTGAGCTCCCCAGTAATACTGGGTGGGCCAAAAAGTTCGTTCTGTTTTAAGTGAAAATAAAAGACATTTTTCATTTTGCCAAGAATTTTATCGCACAATGTATTCACTAACCGAATGAACTTTTTGGCCAATCCAATATATTGTAAAATGTTAAGTCTTTCGTTTTCCCCAGCAAATACTCTGAAAGATGCTAGAAGACAGGTAGAGACTATGGCTTACATATCTGTCCACCTCATATGGCTAAAGCCAAATACAAAATACTGAAGATTTAATAAATTAAATTATTAAACAAATCTAATATCTATCAAATTAAAGAGAATCACAGAGGTTAATAACTTTCAAGTGATTCAATGATAAAGATGTTAATGATAATTCCTTAGAAATGAAATGCTTTATAATGTTTAAGTTTTGCTATTTTGTTAAAATATCCCAACTGAATATTCACTAGAGTTAGAAAATGATTATATAAAATGGCTTAAAATCATTTTGCTCCATCCATCCATGGTTAGTATTTGATAAAAAATTAAAAACCTATAAAAGATACGTTTTGATCAATGAGTCAAGAGCAAGCTTTGCAAGAACTATCATTCATAGCATAACTGCCACCACCGCATCCATCGTTTTTTTCTGCTAATACTACTGAGTGTGTCTTAACTGGTGAATGAGGTTTTATTTTCAATCAGTATCATCATTAATAGATCAATAACACGCAAGCTTAGAAGAACCTGTTTCCCAGAGAAATGTGAACGCTTCCAGTGGTCTGAGGATTAAATTTCAATCACTTTCTTTGGAAGGCTACTTAATTATTAAGAACAACAGAGAACTCCTCCTCCCACTCCAATGCAAGCCATTTGGAAGAAAAGAATGACCCATGACCCAGAATTATCTTGTTCTTGGTACAAGCACCTACTTTGACTACTTTTAAAATTTTACTTGAGAATGAGGAAGAGAATTAGTTTTCATGCCCCAATGTGTTTTATGTCCACAGAGTAAAAGGAAAAACCGAAATATTAATTTGGTTGCAATCTGAGTCCCCAAACTAGATACAATATTTAAAATGTGCACAGCTCAGACTGAATGGAGGCACCCTAGATTTTGTCCCTAACGAATGATTGATACGGACTCCTGGTGTTACTTTCCAGCCCTTTTTCTTCCTTAAAAATACCAACTACCTGCAGTGCTTTTCTAAAAAACATAATTATTCACAATCAGCTTCTCTTTTGAAAGTATATTTGTACTCTTACTCAAAGACAGACAAAGGATTAAGTGAGGATCATCTATTCAATTCCTTTGTCAGAAACCTTATGCCTGGGTCTAGAAACAATATAACATGGAACTCAACTTCCAGTATTAGATTTTCTACGTTCAGCAGAAATTACACTGATATTTACATCCCCTTAACTCCAAATGCTGCACTCAAAGAAGCCAATGTGAACACTAAGGCTCGTTACTAAAATAGAAAAGAAAAAAAATTTCAGTGCCTCAGTTTTATAGACATATAGCTCATTTACCGTGTTCGACTGAACATCTCCAATTTAAAAACAAAGACATCACAAAATGATATAATGGTGCTGCTGAAGGATGATGAAGATGATGAGGACGATTTTGGTCTTAACAACTCATGATGCGTTTCCTTCTATTTCGGTTGTTTTCAAAGATGTGGAATTCTGAATTTTGACAGTGCCACTTTAAGAGCCCAATCTAGTCGCTTTGCAGTGCTGTACATCAAAGGACTTACTGGGCCACTGGTAGCCTGCCAAAAGTGAGCAAGACAGGCCAAACACATGTCCGCAGCTACAGTTTCAGCTGTGTACGATCAACTGCTAAATCCCTGAGTTAGGCTCTATTTCTTTTACTATGAAGGCAGTTTTTGTAGCCATGAGCCTAGTATAACTCGGAGATGTGATTTCTACATAAAAAGTCAGGACTGTCCCCAAACACATTGTTTAATACTGTGCTACTAACCTTAGTTGGCCAAACCCAGAGTCGGATCCCGTCTTAAGGGCTCACCATTGGATAATCTCACTGTGGTACAGGCGCCATGAACTTGCCTGGTCTCCTTTGGTGTAAGCCTATTAATGTGAACAGGGCTTGCATGGAAAGCCAAAGGGCTCACAATGGCGGAGCTAAAAGGTGGGGCACGGCCCCCATGCTCTGCTTGTCTTTGGGCAAAGCCGCGAGCAACAAGCCCATGCAGCACAACTGTGTACTGCCAAGCCTGCACGGGGGGCAGGGCGGGGGAGCAGAGAGGTCTGCAGCCAGTGGGTCTGCCGGCACTGGGTGAGAACCATCCAGCTTCCTGCGCGGAATAAACCCAGTCCAGCGAACGCCTGGTACACGTGAACAAGCTTGTGTCGTTAGGACACCGGAAACCATTGAAAGTAATTACAAGATGAAGACATCCTGGCATGGAGCTCACGAGGTACGATACAGCTTTACACAGTTCAGCAGCTGAAGACGGAATCTGGCGTACGGATTCAGTGAACTGGCTGAAATAGAGCCCTAGCCAAAATGGCATGTAAAATAATACCAACCGGTGGGGCTTTCTCTCCAGGACACATAAGGGAATCTACATAGAACGAGTACCACAAAAGTTTCAGAATGTGATCCCAAGAGTATTAACACGTGTCTACATGCAGTGCCAAGAATGAATTCACCCACTACTAAATTCCCTCCAGCTCACAATTTCTTAAATGGTGTCTCCAGTCCTGTAGGGAAGGACTTTGTGCCTATTAAGTTTTCATCTGCACTGAAGATTATTTATGCTTTGGGACTGGCAACAGACCTTGGGGCATCACTGCAATATCAGGCATTTGTGAAAAGTGGGAAAAAGAAAAAAAGACTTTACATGATATCATGAGGAGAACAAAGAAAAAAGAGGACATAATTGCTGAGGTAAGTCAACTATTCAGAGAGAAAAAAAGGGCTTTTTTTTTAAAGGTTCAAACTTCTGTTACAGAAGAATTGAAAGATTAGTACAGGGAACATTCCTACGCCCTTCACTTAGATTTCCCAACTGTTAACATTTTGCCATAATGGCTTTATTTCCTTCTCTCTCCCTCTCGTATATTTATCTTTTCTCCTGAACCATTTGAAAGTAAGCTGCAGACATTATGACACTCAGCAAGCATTCCTTAAGAATAAGAACGTTCTCCTTCATAACCATAATACCATTATCATATCTAGGAAAGTTAAAAATTCATTAAATAATAGCATATAATATGCAGTCTATATTTAAATTTCCCCAGTTGTCCCTAAAACGCCTTTTATAACTTTTGCTGCGGACGCTCAGGCTCAGAGGCCATGGCTCACGGGCCCAGCCGCTCCGCGGCACGTGGGATCTTCCTGGACCGGGGCACGAACCCGTGTCCCCTGCGTCGGCAGGCGGACTCTCAACCACTGCACCACCAGGGAAGCCCAACTTTGCTTTTTGATTCACAGTCTAATGAAGGTTCACATATTGTATTTGGTTATTTTATTTTTAAAGACAGTTCTTAGCACTTTAAATGTTATTTGTTTTTTTTCTAAGTGAAATTGGCCTTTTATCTTAGAGTCTGTCATCCTAACTGCAATACATGGAGTTTCAGGTTATGATGATCTTTCTCCATGTGGACATTCCCAGAGGATAATGGTCGCTTAGAGGAAACCAGGAGATAAGGTGATGGAAACCCTGCTTTATGGCTAAGGAAGGTTCTAAAATGGTAGGAGGCAAGAGTTTAGGTCAAGGGAGCAAACTCCTTTTGGCCCAAGTTATTTACACAACTCAGTCCCCTGATTTCCCTCTCCCATCTGTATTCTCTTTCATTTTTTATAACTTCCAGCAAGATCTAGTGTGAATAAAAGATAATTAAATGTATTACAGATTATGAGGTACTTATGACAGGAACTTCATTTGTGTTTTTTTTTTCCCTTTTAAATTTCATGAAGATGAAAAGGGAAGCAATAACATCTACACTGTACCCTTTACTTTAATCCTTTTTTTTCTCCTCAGTTTTCCCATCTGTAAAAATGGGGAAATTAATAGTGCCCAGTTATATATATATAGCTCAGAACAATGCCTGGCACAGAGAGAGCCTTGTGTTAGTGGTAGCTACTGTTGTTTTTGGCACCATTAGATACAGCAATATGCTTAATAGAATTCGTTTGCTTCTCAAGTAAAACCAATGCCTACTGAAAGAAAAGAAAATCACCCAAACTGGTTTAACTGGTTTCTAGAGTCCAAACAGGCATTAGATGGGACAACAAATACTAGTCCATTTAAACAAAAGGGGTGGGGCTGGAAGGGTGGGGAATTCCAAGAAGGAAAGGAGGAAGTGACTGGGGGGCGCGGGGTCAGCAGGTGGGAACAGGTGCGGCTCCTTCTGACTTCTTCTCTCTTCCTAGGAGCACTGTGCTCTGAAGACCCTTCCTCTGGAGCTCTGTGTTGGCTAGATTTCCCTGTTCTGCTTAGCATCAAGCTCATAGAGAAAACAGTTCCAGGGAGAACTTGATTCTTACACGGATAAAGCCACATCTCAACACACAGCGTTCTCTGCTCCTTCCAGCACAAATTCACAGTTCACACTCTTCACGGAATACATACATGACACAACATATAATCCAGGTCATCTCCCCAACTATGTCAGATAACTGACCTTCTCCAAGGGTCCTCTGCAACAAATCATGCTTGGCTTGAAGTTTTGTGATGAGATTACTACCCTCCAAATATTCTCTGAGTTTCTGCAAAAGCAAAGATGTTTTTAACTTTTAAAAAAATTATTCAGTGTCCAGGAACTTCCCATAGGATATCTAAAATCCAGCCACTTTTGTCTTTTTGTCTTTTAGATCATAGAACCTTGCTAAGCAAAGTGTTATGGGCTCTCAGGTGCCTCCCTCCCCAGACCTACTGGAATCAGAACCTGCATTGTAACAAGCTCTCCTGGTGACATGTATGTTCATTAAATAATCTAAAAGTTCTGTTTCAGAGCAGTCCTCTTTAAATTTGTCTGCATATCAGTACTATCTCCGAAACACTATCCCAGACCTACTGAATTGGAAACTCTGATCTTAGTAAAGAACCCCAGGTGATTCTGATGCAACTCCAGAAACAGTACTTGGGGCCCCCAGATCTGAGCCCCAAGGGTGGCTGGGGAAGCAGCAGGCGTACCATGAAGTAGAACTGCTCGGTCTCCTGCTGGTTGGCTCTTCTCTTGGCGATACTGGGCTTACTCAGGTAGGTTTCAGAGACAGTAGACTTCACAGACTCTGTGGAACGACTGTGCTGGAAGCATTCAGAAACATCGTAGTCCTCGATGGTGACCATATCTTGTATCGTCTGCAAGGTGGCCTCAGTCGTTTTCTTAACCTGGGAATAGGAGCACATTTCTCAGGTTAGTACCCTATTTCGTGAATCCCACAAACAGTGAGAAACTGCTCTGTCAGGTACAGATGGGGGCACAGGCCCTGCCCCCACCAAAGTTCAGAGTCTATTAGGGGAGAGAGACAGGTAAACAATACCTCATGTCACCAATATAAGGAGAGGCTTTCTTCAAAATTATCCTGAGGAGGATATCACTTTATAATTGAGTTCCTGTAAATCACATGTATCACTGAGTACTCTCTCAATTACATTTTCTGTTTTGTTTTTTTTTTTTTTGCGGTACGTGGGCCTCTCACTGCCGTGGCCTCTCCCATTGCGGAGCACAGGCTCCGGATGCGCAGGCTCAGCGGCCATGGCTCACAGGCCCAGCCGCTCCGCGGCATGTGGGATCCTCCTGGACCAGGGCACGAACCCGTGTCCCCTGCATCGGCAGGCGGACTCTCAACCACTGCACCACCAGGGAAGCCCACACTTTCTGTTTTAAAGGACCTTTTAAACTGAAGTGAAATTACATACAGAAAAATGTGCAAACCATAAGTGTACAGCTTTATGAATTATCACCAACTGAACACACTCATGTGACTACCACTCAGATCAAGAAATAGAGCACATTATGAGTAACCTGTGCTTCTCCCAGTCACCACACACACTTTCCTGCTCCCCAGAGGTAGCTACTATCCTGATTTCTAACCTCATATATTAGTTTTACCCTTTTAAAATACTTTATATAAATAAATGGATTCTTACAGCATATATTATTTTTGTTTTGTTTCTTTTGCTCAACTTTATGTAGTAAGATTTATTCATTTCTTGTCAGTACAGTATTTCACTGCTGAATATTCATTGTAAGAATACATCATAATTCATCCCTTTTACTGTTGATAGATGACTTATTTCTGGTTTTGGGCCACTATGAATAATACTGCTAGGAACACATTTTTGTTGGGCCACACATACTTGAGTAGAATGGCTGCTTATTGGGTATTCCAGACTGTTTTCTAAAATTATTGCTCTAATTTGTATTCCCACCAACACAGGAGCATTCTTATTACTCCACATCCACAACAATTGGTACTGTCAGTTTTAAAATTTTAAACCATTGGGAATTCCCTTGCGGTCCAGTGGTTAGGACTACATGATCTCATTGCCGAGGGCCTGGGTTTGATCCCTGGTTGGGGAACTAAGATCCTGCAAGCCGTGTGGCATGGCCAAAAAAAAAAAAAAAAAAAAAAAAAAAATCACCTAAAAATTTAAACCACTGTGTTGGGTGTGTAGTGGTATCTCATTGTGGTTTTAATATGTATTTCTCTGATGGTTGAGATTGAGCACATTATCATATGTTCAAGGCAGTTTAGATTTTCTCTCTTTGAAACACTCTGTTAAACCTCTTGCTCAGTCTTCTGTTGGGTGATGAGCCTTTTTCTTTACAGATTTGTAATACGTATATGAGTCTTTTGTTAGTTATATGTGTTGCAAATATCTTTCCCCACTCTGAGCTCTGGTTTTTTACTCTTTCTATAGTGTCTAGATGAACAGTCTCTAATTTTAATGTAATCAATTTACTAATCCTTGCCTTTATAATCAGTGCCTTTTGTGTCCTGTTTAAGGAATATTTTCCTATCTCATGGTCATAAAGATACTGTTCTATGTTATCCTCTAGGAGCTTTTAAATTTATCTTCCACATTTATCTTCCACAATTAGGTTGTACTCCACCTTTGCTTATCAAAGTCTAATGTAAATCAATAGCTTTATCTTTTTCCCAGACAATGTACAGAGTTTAGAACACCTTAAAACCATTTACTCTTCCTGACTTATATGCTATTTTTGTAATGTTTTATAATAGGATGTATTATATATGTAAATATTTGTATCCATTTAAATACAAGACATTATTATGATATAGTCAGTATTCATTTAGCTTTATCCATATATTTATTAAATTCTTTGATCTCTATACCTTATATTTTTAAGAACACCCTTTAGAAATTCTTTCTTTTAAAAATATAGTTGATTTACAATATTATGTTAGTTTCAGGTGTACAATAAAGTGATTCAGTTTTATATATATATACACACACACACACACATACACACAAACACATGTATACTTTTTCAGATTCTTTTCCATTATAGGTTATTTCAAGATATTGAATATTTTCCTATGCTATACAGTAAATCCTTGTTGTTTATCTATTTTATATACAGTAGTGTGTATCTGTTAATCCCATACTCCTAATTTATTTCTCCCCTTCCCCTTTGGTAACTACATTTATTTTCTACACAGAAATTCTTTTTAGCATGAATCCTCTAGTGGCGAATTTTGCTTTTGTTGATTTAAAAATGTCTTTTATTTCACCTTCATTTATGAAAGACATTTTTTCCTGGTTGGCAGTTATTTTCCTTCAGTACATTTAAAACATCACTGTACTTTTTTTTTTTTTTGTACTTTCTTGTGGCTTCCATGTTCCTGTTGAATGAGAAGTTTACTATCAGTCTATCACACTTTGAATGAACCCTGCTTTTTTTCTCCAGCTGGTTTTAAAGTTTTCTACAGTTTCACTATAATGTATCTAGGTAAGGATTTAAAAAATATATTCTGCCTGGAATATTTTTGGACTTCTTGAATTATGTGATACTTTTCTTAAGCTCTGATAAGATTTCAGCCATTATCTTTACAAATATTGTCTCTACTTTCTTTTCTATCAATATTTTCTGGGAGTTTAGTTAGTATGCTAAAAATCACTGCGTTCTCTGTATCTTACCTTTCTCTTCATATTTTCTATCCTTTTGTTTTTCCATGCTGCATTTTGATTACTTCCTTCAGATTTGTCTTCTATTTTGATAGTTCACTCTTCAGCTGTGTCTAATCTGATGTTAAAACCATGCCTGATTTATTAATTTGGGTTACTATATTTCTCAGCTCTAGAATTTCTGTGTGGTTCATTTTCAAATCTGTTATTTCACTGTTTATAGGTTATAACAGTGCCCTGCTGAAATCTAAGCTTGACTTTTATCTTCTTGAACACAGTAAATAGCTCTTTCACAGTTTTTTTCTGGTAATCCCAATATTTAGTTCCTGTGGGTATATTTCTATTGTCTGTTATGTATTCTGGCTATCACTCATGTTGTCTTTTCTCCTTATGTACCTAGTTATCTTTGCTGGACAGTTTCTGTAGAGTTATTTGAGGTCTAGGGTGAGGTTATCATCATGAGAGAATGTTTGTTTATTTTTCCAAGCCATTAGGGGCACTAATAGTTCAGAATCACTGGATTTTATTTCTGTTCAAAATATTTGATGCTCTTCCTTTTGGGAACATGTGGCTCCGTATGTCATGGGTTTCAGGCTTGGCCATGTACCTTGTCCTGGATAATGAAATGTGCGAGAAGCAGCTGAGTGGCTCAGTCCACCATTACAGGAAGTAGAGATATGTTCGATTGTTTTTTTTGTTTTTTGTTTTTTTTTTTAAAACAACAAAATACTGTTTAGGGAAGAAACAATAACAATCAGTGCTAGTTTAGAGGCTTAAAGAGGTCATGTGATGTAGCAAATTTTAAAAGGAGGCAAAAATTAAACAGATTTAGTCATTATTCCTGAGGATATGCAAATTGCAAAGGATAGACACCGGAAAAAAGCACATTAAAGATGATTTTTAAAATAACGTTATAAGTACTTTAAGAAAGTCATGATTATATATCTATAGGCTGAATGAAGAGACTCACTATCCTGTAGGTGACATCAGTAAGATGGTAGAATTAGAGGTCCCCTATTCATACACTCCCACAACAACAATTTGGCAGCCATCCATGGACAAAAGTGCATTTGTGGGGGCTTTGGGATCCAGATAGGAGCCTGTAAAACCTTGATGGAGCCCACAACTGCCAAGGACCAATTTGAGAAAGCTGGCCCATGCCCAGGTGGCAGGCTTGCCAACTTTGGCCCTGGCTACAGACCCAGAAATAGCCTGTCCGCTTGTAGACACAGCTACAGTCCTGTTTGGCCTTGGGCCTGCCACCAGCACTATTTGCCAAGGGACCCAAGAGGAGTCACGCCCACCAATGTCCCAAGTAACAGGCCCGCTGACCTTAGTCCTAGATTTGGACCCTGTAGTAGCCCACGATGCAGTTCCAGTCCCTCTCAGCCCTGGTCTGGGAGCAGTGCTATTGCCCAGGGACATGCTGGGAGGCACACCTGTCCTTGCTCCCAGAGGCAGACCTGCCGACCTCGGTCCAACTGCAGATCTTGAAGTGGTCCTGTAACCTGGCTCCAGATGAGCCCCGCTGCAGTCCAGGGGGCAGTTCTGCTTGACCAGAAACCAGGCTGAAGACACGTCTATCTGTGCCCTGGGGGCAGGCCCACCAACCTCGGTCCAACTGTGGATAATGAAGCGGCCCTGTAACTTGGCTCTAATACCTCTTAGCAATGGCCTATGAGCAGTCGTACCCATCCGAGGGACCCAACAAGAGACAAGCCCATTTGTATGCCCAGAGTCAGGCCTGCCAAACTCTGACCAATTTTGGTTTTTGAAGCAGCCCTGTAAGTTGGATCCAGTCCTTCTCGGTAGTAGTCCAAAAGCAGTCCTGCCCACCCAGGGACCAGGAGGGAGACACGCCCATCTGTGCCCCCGGAGGCAGGCCTGCAGAACTTGGTCCCGGCTGTGGACCCTACTGCAGACCTGTGACTTAGATCTAGGTGTGCTCAGCTCCAGGGCCAGTCCTGCCCACCAGGGACCTGTCCAGTGACTTGGCAGGTGCCACACCCACCCAAGTCCTTGGTAACAGGCTCACAGACCATGGCCCATACTGTGGACCCAGCAACGGTGAATGTGATTCCTTGTCAATCGCTTTTCTTTTTTTTCAACTTCCTTCTCAGAAACAAGAGTGTCATGGTTAAATTTGGAATTATCGGGAAGAATAAAGGATGTGACAGAAGCCACCAGATACAATGGCTGGGACTATGTATTATCCCATGGGACACTCCCGATGA